ATATTACAAGCTTCCCCTGATAGGTGAGTATTCTAGGAACTGCTCTGTATCAGTGTACCAGCTGGCATTATTATGAGAGGCTGCATTCTGCTTCAGTGAAAAAAATTTTTTTTGGAAGACTCAACATGTTTGCCCATTTCATGAAGGTTGATGCACACCTGTCCACACCACACTGAGTGCTCAGAAGCTTTTGACCAAAAATTACATGAACCCCACGCTCCACCTTCTCTATTCACCTGATCTTTCCCCCAAGTGACTTTTTTTTGTTTCCCCGGATGAAAAAAGTCCTTAAAGGCAAATGTTTTACCAATGTGGAAGAGGTGATATAAAAAAACAGCAGAACTAAAAGGAATCAAAATCAATGAGCTCAAAAAAGTTTTGAGCAGTGGAAAAAAATGTCTTGATAGTTGTATTTCATCAAATGGAGAGTGATTTGAAGTTGACTGAAATAAAATGTAAGAATAAATAACACAATTTTTAATTAAAAAATTCTGGGTTTTTGGGGTGGTCTCCCCTTGCATGTGTGCTACTTACTTTGTGATCTATAAAATGCTTCTTACCACTAAATGATAATCTCTTTCAGGGTGGGTTATGTCTGTTTTTCTCACTTTTGTATATCACCACCTGGCAGTACCTAGCAAATAGTACATACACAACAGATATTTGAAGAATAAAGGGATAAACCTGTTACATTTTTAGAATAGCTTTGTTTACAAAACAGTAGGCAATTGCCTAAAAAGTGAACTGATTTTTGTCTAAGGCCATATTAATTATAGGTAAGCCAGACCTGGATCCCAAGTTTTCTGACTTTCTATTGAATGTTCTTTCTGTTACCCCAATAAACTAAAATCATCATCAATATTTAATGTTAATAATATTAAAATTAGAATATAGTAGTGGGAAGAGAAGGAACATATACCACCCAAATTAACTACAAAATGGTCCCTTTTTCACAGTCACAGACCTTTTGTAAACAGTAACCAAAATCAAATCCTAGTCCTGGCCCTAAGTGCCATGACCATGGTCCCTTTGAACTCATTCTTCATTCTGCCATCTGCTCTAAGCCCTCAACCACTCTGATGACAAAATGTATGTACAGTCTTTCTCTGATAGTTCCAGAATCTTTATCAGGCAACATCTTTCTTGGCGTTATTACTACCTTTCTCTTACTTTCCAAATCAAACCCTTTCCAATGAAGGGAGAGACTGTCAAGTTTAGCTCAGCTGTCAGTGAAATCACAGGAAATACCTAACTTTACACTTCCCCAAAACCAAATCAGTTCTCTTCCAACTTGGAGTGTTTACATTTTCATTTTTTTGGCATGATTCCCATATTTTCCTTTCTCAGTCAGACAAGAGCAAACAGTCACTTTAGCTACTGAAAAGAAGATTGCTGCCAGCTGTGTTTTGGTGGAGTGTTTTGGTGGGGTGTTTTGGTGGGGTTCTTTGATGGTCAGTACATCAAAGACGGTCAAAGATGTCAGTGTGGCGGTCAAAGATGTCAGTGTGGCGTGGAGCAGGCGAGGCAATCTTTGGCACCTGCCACTATTACTGGCTTCTTTTGATACAGATTTTTTAAAGAACTGACAATCCTCCCGCACAGTTGGACTTAGAGCAAAATGGTATGACAACTCTACAGATAAACCAAAAGGGTTAATCTGCATTTAGTTTGTTAGAATCCTATCTTAAAGTCTCAGTGTGGACCCCTGAGTGAGTACAGGGTAGAGGTTAGGGAAGGGAGAAGGCTAGTGAGCAGAGTCTGATACTGGCTTTGTTTCTCATTATAGATAACTGGCTGTAGGATGGAGCAGAGAAAGGAATTGAAATTCTTAACTAGGAAGACCACAAAGATCTTATCTGTTTCATGTTTATAAACCTTCATCCCTCACTCCTTAGACACAGACTCTGTCTAGTCTTTAGGACCTTTGCCCTGACTTTGCCACCCCTCCCCCGATGCTATTCTTTAACCTTTTAAGGATGGCACAAAATAGAAATAGCAAGTAAATGTTTCACAAATTAAATTGGAATACAGAGATTTTTAAAAATATATAAGACCCTTTCATATAGCCATTTAGCACTAATTTATATGTACAACCAGATACGTACACAAACACCAATAAACTAAGGCAAAAATAACTAAGCACTTAGGGGTCTTATATTGGGTATACTTCCATATTCTACTGGAAGGACCTAATGTCTGACTGCCTCTGATGTTTGCCTAGCAGTGTTCACCAGGGAGCAGAATCTCAACAAATTCATGTTGAATGAATGAGCACTTTTAGACATTCCTTTATTACTAAGCAATTTTAGCCCAATAGACAATACAAAAAACATATTTTCATTTAACACAATGGGTAGTTTTTTGGAGAGAAGCAATCAATGATTATATTTAAAATTTTTCATTGTTAGGTTATAACACCAGCATATGCATTACTTTGGGAGGTTATAATTACATTTCACTGAACTTTGTCTTGAGCTAGCATGCATTTTTCAGATGTGTTCAATATAATTCTGTCTTTTTGAACCTTTACTGAGTTACTGTGACCTGATGAGCTCTTTTTCTCTTCATCCCTAGGGCCCAAATTTTTTCCTTCTGCTTTTCCAACATTACCACTTACCCCTTGAAGTACTTTGTCATTGCCCTTGGGGATGGAGGGGCAGTTATCTCACTTTTTCTGTTCACAAAAAAGAAGGTCTCTGAGAAATTCAGGGGTTTTTTTATTTGTCCAAGGTTAGGATTCTCTGCTCCTTCCAATACATTATTCCTGTGAAACCTGGGGTCAGAATAACATAAAATAGGAAGATTGATTTATTCTTTCAAATTTTTTGTCAACAAAAGTATGATTCTACAGGTTGAAAGCATCCTGTGCTTTTTTTCCTGCTATTCACAGCTTTGTTTTTAGAATTGTGTTGAGTAATTTAGATTTATCTCGTTTACAGGGTGTTTTATTAGTAATGCTTAGTCTGATGGGTTCTTGCCAGGAAATGTTTTTCCTATCAGGGTCAGAGTGGGAGTTGACTTTATAGCATACTAAGCATGTGACATTGTCTTATTTCATTCTAAGTTTAATTTTTTGCTTTTTAATCAGCACTCTGGCCCCACTCTTGTCTTCACACTAAAGAAGTTTACAACTTAAAAATTGCCTTCATATTTTCAGTCATTGCTAGAACCCAACCTCATGTTCATATAATAGCATTGACAGGACCCTGGTTTTCATGGAAGATAGAGACTCTTGAATTTCTTATTCTTAAGTTGCTTAGATCATCACTGGCCTAATATTGTGCTTTTGTGCTTATATTTTTAGTAACTATATATTTTATATATGTATACATTTATAAGCTAGTCTTCCACAGGGTTGCAATTTAAAGATTCTAGACCTGAGTATAGTGATTTTGGACTGTTGAACCAAAGTGCCCTTCCTTGCCTCCCTCCACTCACAGTGGGACAACTGCCAGGGAGTGGGGAACAAGATGAGATGTATTGACCCAAGTGATCATGATTGTCACAGCCAGGTCAGATCTCATGCCATGACTGTAGCAGTGAACAGTCCAAGGAACATCTCTGTGGTGTGGCTTTCTTCTTAGAAAAGAAAGCTTCTCTGGTCTTGAGCACAAGTTAGTTTATTTCACTTCTACTTATGATAGATTCCTATATTATTTTCTTCTACCTCCCAGATAAAACTTGTTAGCTTGCAATTATCTTTTCTCAGGAAGTCAACTAATTTCTGGATTATATTTAATTACTCTCCAATCAGCTTTATCAGTTTTTTCATCAGCATAATATAATTAATAACACTTGAACTTTCATATCTCAAAGAAATAACCTATATATACACCATTGTATATGACAGATATCAAAAGCTAGTTATGTATTTAAAATCTGCAAATGTCAGTTCAAAAAGTTGATTATAGTTCTTGTTCTTAGTATTTATCTCAACTTCCCTTAATCAATAGCTTGAATGACATTTGGGAAAAGATTATCTTTAATACCATTACTGTTAATACACATGATTTTACAGTGCAGTAGAAATTTCCCTGTTCTTTAGAGAAGGTATTCTCATTGTGTGCAGTTAATTTAGAAGGCATTCTGAAATAGTCCATTCCAAATCCAAGTAATTGTTTTGGGGTTACAATAAAGCAGCATTTTGTTTCTACGGTTTTTTTTTCCTTGCATTATAATGAAGCTGTTAACCCTGTAAATACCCGCACCTCTGGTCTTGAGCACAAGTTCGTTTATTAAATGCATTAAATGTATTGTCTTCTTTAAGCCTCACTGTTCTTAAGTTTATTAGTAAAAGAAAAACTGGGCTCACAGTCTTCCTGCCAAAAGTTACAATTTGTAGGTTATGAAATTGGGGTTTGATCCAAGTAATCTGACTTCAGATTTTTATACTGTTAAATCTTTGTGCCTGCTTTTAAGTGAAGTAGTGTTCATTAATTGGTACCACCTGAAATCTGGTATTTTGTCCAGTCTTTAACATGTTTTACAGAATCTGAGTGAATGTGGTTTTGTCAAAAGTGTCTCCCAAAAGTAATTTTTTAAGGTCAAAATAGTTATTCTGCATAATAACTAGACTTTTATCCTTGGCAGTATAATGCTACAATATTTAGCATATGTTTTATAAGTTTTGATAAATATTCTTCTGTTGTCAATTTTTTGGTTGTTAACTTGAGTGTATGTATGCATGTATATGAAGAACATATATGAAGAAACCAAAGGACATTTTAAAATTTCGGTTTTGAAGGAGGCTGACAAATAGTTATAGAGAACATAAACAATGACAATGGAAAAATAATGAAAGAAAACTCTTAAATAATTTAGCCTTTAATAAAAAACAAAAACCTGTACAAAAATAGTCCTTTCACCATTTGGTTCTCAAAAGGAAATTGACAATGGTGGTGTTACTTTCTGTTTCTCCTTAGACAACTTAGACAGTGATGCCAGCAGCAGGGACAGGTACCTTGTGTTTCTATTAAATGCTTCCCCCCCCTTATTTTCAGGTGTTAGAAACTATTTGAAAGAAGCATTGGTGAATATAATTGCAGTACATGCAGAGGTAAGCTATCATTTGATGTTCCTAAGAGATAAGAGTAACTGGAATAGGAGAAAAAGGATAATTTGTGGTTTCTATGGTGGCCTTTTTTCCCAACTTTTTGTGCTTTCCTTTGTGTTTAACAAATTAAAGTCAGGACAGGTCCCCATAATGGACCATTTCTCCTTGTTTTAAACCTTCTTTTAGGTATTCACTATTTCCAAGGAATTGGTGCCTCGGGTCCTGACCAAGGTGGTGGAAGCAGTTTCTGAAGAGCTCAGTCGACTCATGCAGTGTGTTTCCTCCTTCAGCAAAAATGGAGCATTACAGGTACCAGAATTACTCACAGGTCCATGTCAAACTTTCAGTTTATTTAAACACACAAGTATATTTTTAATCATCAGTCTTATACACAGATTATTTTATGGATCTGCTGATTTGCAATCCACATTGTCTCTCTTGCTCATTATGTCTTGTCTATAAGTTCCAGAGTTTCTGTGTCTTTAGAACAGAGCAAGACCTTAACAACCCTTGTGAAATTATCTTGACTGTGGATTCCTTCTAAAGTTCTGTAATTGCCTTTGTTTTATTTTATACTTGTCTTTACTACATTTAATTTCACAAGAAATTTTTAGCAACTTTTTAAAAATAAATTTAGGAATTTTATTTATTTTTTAAAAGATTTTTCTTATTTATTTTTAGAAAGAGTGGTAGGAAGGAAGAAAGAGTAGGAGAGAAATATAGATCAACACGTTGCCTCTCACACGCCCTCAATTGGGGACCTGGCTGGCAACCTAGGCATGTGCCCTGACCAGGAATTGAATCGGCAACCTTTCAATTTGCAGGCAGGCTGGTGCTCAATCCACCAATCCACAACTTTCTTTTATTGTCTTTTCAAACTGTTCAATGTAGTTTGCATAGAAACATCTCTTTGCTTTAATATTCCATTGGTTTATGTTGTAGTTATTTAAATTATGTAATTACAATAACAAATATAACATATAAACCAGATGATTCTTTGTATGCATACAACAAAATTGGTAGGAGCTAGGGTGTGCAGGCATGTGGTAGAGTGACCTCCTACATGTAAGCTTTGAGTTATCTAAAACATACTGTGTTTTTTAAAAAGTACTGGCAGTTTTTCTTACAGTAATGGCTGAAGAAGCTCTTATTAGGCCAGCCCCCTATAGAAAACAACTGTAATCTTAAATAAAATATAAAAACTTTAAAATATTAAAAATCAAAAACATGAAAAACACTTGGAGAAGTGACCATTAGTAAGTGATTCTGGAAGGAACGGCACTTGGGTGAATTCCTCATGTTTTTATGGATTTTAGCCTGAAGACAGGTCCAGAAGTACCTAAAACTTCACTAAACCTACATCTTTTAGGCTTGAAGAATAGGGCAAAGTACTACTATAGGAAAGTGAGGAAGCTATCCCAGAGTACAGAAAGCAAGAGCTATAAATTGTGTATATAAGCTACTTAAGTCTCTAGTTGGCCCCTAAACTATACATACATGGCTGGACTCCACTATAACAAGCCCAATTAAAGCTAAAAGGACTAAAGTAAGAATTAAAATGCTGCCCAAGAGCCAGGAGTTTTTAATTTGAGTACAAATAAGTAAATTGCTTGCTAAAGCAGAACAAAATCAATACGCTTCAGAGGCATATTACAGAATCCAGAGTCTCCCCAGTATGACATACACAGTGTCTAGGATACAATCCACATTTTATAGAAATGTAAAAACAGAACAAAACAGGAAAACATGACCCATTTTCAATAGAAAAGACAAGCACCGGAGAGCAGTCTTGAGATGACCTAGTTATTGGAATTTAAAGACAAGGATTTTAAGCAGTGTTCAGTAATGGAAAGGAGACTATGCTAAAATGAATGAAGAGATAGGAAATATCAGCAGAAAAGGAAATTTAAAAGAATAACTAAATGGAAATTCTCAGACAGAAAACATATATATATATTTTTTTACAATCTACCAGATCAGAATAACTGCTTAATGGAGACGACAAAAGGAAAAGTCACCAAATTTGCAGATCCCATGTGAGAAAAAGAGAAAGGAATGATTGGGAAAAAATTAACAGATCACTAGGGACCCTTGGGGCAACATGAAAAGGTCTAGCATAGACATAATTGAATTTGTGAAAGAGTCAGAATGGCCAGTCAGCACATGAAAGATGGTCAGCATCATCAGTTGGAGCTCTCACACATTGTTGGGCATGTAAATCATACAACTACTTTGGAAAACACTCTTGCAGTTTCTTTGAAAACTAAACATACATATCCCCTATGACCCAGCCATTCTAATTGTAGGTATTTAACTAAGAGAACTAAAAATACGTGTTTATGAAAAAAACATACAAGAATGCCCATAAATTTTCTTCTTAATAGCCCAAACCTAAAAACAGCCCAGGTGTTTATCAACAGAATAAACAAACTGCAATATGTTCATATAACCAACTACTTTTGAGCATTAAGGAGGACAAACTGCTGCTACCACCTAAAGCACAGGTGGCAAACACAAGGCCCACAGGCCAAATCCAGCCCTTCACCTTGTTTTATCTGGCCCTTCACCTTGTTTCTACCCACCAGCAGCTCTGAGCTGTCGCTTAACTGTTAAGGAGTAGTTAAATTTATACAGTCCTAAAATGACATTCAGCCCTTTGAAGGCAACTGCGAGGCTGATGTGACTCCCCGTGAAAATGAGTTTGACACCCCTGACCTAAATGAAACTCAGGAGTGTTTAGCTGAGTGAAGGAATCCTCACACCAAAGCACACGTATTACTATATAGGTTTCTTCTCTGGTAGGAAGAAAAAATCTCAGGAAAGTGCTTTCCTCTGGGTTGTTGAGATTAAGTAGGAAGGGGCCTAGGGGGTTGGTTCTGTACCTTGATATGGCTTTCCATTGCTCAGGTGTATGCCTCAGTCAGAACTCATCACATGGTACACTGTAAGATTTGTCTATTGTGTAGCATGTAAATTTTAACTCAAAAAGTTAAAATAGTATTGATTGATTCCCAGTCAGGGCACATGCCTGGGCTGCAGACCAGGTCCCCAGGTAGGGGCATACAAGAGTCAACCTATCGATCGATGTATCTCTCACACACCGATGTTTCTCTCCCTCTTTTCTCCCTCTCTTCCTCTCTCTAAAAATAAATAAATAAATAAAATCTTTTTTTTTTTAAAGAAAGAAACAGGCTACTGTAGTTAGTCATGCATGGTGAAGTACAGCAAAACAATGTGATAGATTGGTAATTGGATAGATAAATGGTAATGCTAGTTAACATATGTAGTAGAATCTATTGGTTTACAGGTGTTCACTATAAATTCTTTCAAAGTCTCTATACATTTGAAAATTTTCATACAAAAATATTGGGGGGCAGAAGAAATGGAGAGCACTTGTTAATTTGGCAAGTTGGTTGAGGAAAAATTTGTTACAAAAACTTCTGCTATATTTGTAGTTGCCACCGATTTTCTCTAAAAATTTGACTTAAAGTTGAAAGGACATTAGTATAGTAGTTCTGTTACAGGAGAAAGGTAGCATAAATGGTGTGGTACTAAAGATTAATTAAAAGGAAGTTGCACTAACTACAGTTGACCAAGGCGGTTTTGAAATTATACAATAACAAAAATCTCTCCTCAGGCAAATTTTCTCTGTAACCCATTTACTTGATGGCAAAACTTCTCTCAAAGTTAGCAGGAAGAGGTTAGGAAAAAATACTAGAATCAGCTGGACAACTTTTTCCATATACCACAGGTCCTCAAATAAAATTGTTTTGTTTAATATCATTTCATAATAATGTTGATGGGAAAAATTGATTCCTGGGTGTTTGGGGTTTGTACATTCTCCCCACGTCTGTAAGGTTTTCTCTGGGGACTCTGGTTTCTTCCCACACCATAGAGCTGTGCATGTGTCTACATTGTCCCATCTATGTGAGTGTGAGATGTGTGAGGTGCCTGTGATAGAAGTGTGTCCAAGGGTGGGGCCTGCCTGCACCCTCAGCTGTCAGGATGGGCGTCTGCCACCTGCACTGCCACATGAACTGGAAGGAGTGATTTAGAAAATAATTTTACTTGTTTTTATTAATCTTTCTTAAATGTATGTAGAGATCACTGTTATTCCAGTGTTTAATATTAGAAGTGTTTGGAGTCCTTAATTAGAAGTTTGGTGATGTTTTTGTGACCAGAAGTGTGCCATAGAACTTAGTTAGCCTTTGGTAAAATTGGTTTCATTCTATACCATTTCTCTTATAGTCACAGATTCCAAGATCCTATCAATGACATGAAGTGAGGACTTACTCGTCACATATCCAGGAGAATACTGGCCACCTTGACCATTCCAACCTCTAATGTTTTGATACTTCCTAGGAACTGGGCAGGCATTTTTTTATTTTGAAAAAGTTCAAATGAGTGTAAATGCCCTACCTCACCCTTTCCCATTGAGAATGGCTGTTTTTGACATCCTTCTTTTGAACAGATAACTCTGAGAAAGACTACAGGTTAATAATCTGTACTAATTATTTACATAAAAGGCCAGTGCATCAGTCTTCAAAACCTTCCTGAGAACCAGTTCAGAGAGGAGAGAGGAGTCGAGTGACAGTTTGGTGATTTTAGCTGATCTTTTAGCATGATATTTTTTGGCATACAGTTTTTTTGTATATTATGTAAGTAACCACCACTTTTATAATTAGCATAATCCATAGGTTAATACACCTTGTTTGAATCCATAGGTTAATTAATACACCTTGTTTGAATAAAGTTTCTACATGAAAATTAGTTTTGCGGTGATTTATTTAATCCTAAAATATTCAACTAAAAGTTCTACCTTATTTTTTTCTCTTTGATATTTTCCTTATAGGTATATTTTTAACATAAACTAGAGTATAAACAATAGAAGTAAATTGTCATACAGGTGTTTTCTAGTTACAAACTATTTTTTGGGCTTCTAAGGCACTGAAAAATGAAACCAAATAATTGCTTTCCAAACAGAAAAGTTTCACTGAATATAGTGTATCTTATCAGCTGTTATCTAGATTGGTTACAGAATTTCTGATAAGTCTGATTTAAAGAACTAGCCATGTCTTTTATGATTGTTTAGCATTTTATGCACTCCTGGAGAATAAGAGCTATTTGTTTCATATAGACCCCTGAGCATAACCTACACTGTGGGTACCTGAATCACAGGTAGAGGATGTGGGCTTTCTCTTTAGAGGCCTTTCTAGTACTCTGAGGAAAACAATCTATCTAAAGTCACACTTCTTCAAGCTTGCAAACAAGTGTAAGCTTTAGGTTAGCTTTTCTGTCATAAAAGTTTTGTGCAGATAAAATTCCTGTAGCATACAATATATCTACAAGATAAAAAGAATATACAATTCAGTGATTTTTTTACTGTGTTCACAGAGTTGTGTAATCACCACCACAATCAATTTTAGAATGTTGCATCACCCCAGAAAGAAACCCCAGATCCATTAGCAATCACTTCCCATTTTCCTTCCATCCCCTCTCCACGGCATTAGACAAGCACAAGTCTGTTTTCCATGTGCTTATTTGCACATTCTGAAAATTACGTATAAACAGAATCATATAAATATGGCTTTTTGAAACTGGTTTCTTTCACTTAACATAATGTTTGAAAGGTTCATCCATGTTGTAGCTTGTATCATTTCTTTTTATGACTGAATAATATTCCATGATACAAATGTACCACACTTCATTTATTGATTCATTATTTGATGAGTATTTGGGCTGTTTCCATGTTTGGCTAATATGAAGAATGCCTCTGTGAACATTAATTTACAAGTTTTTGTGGACATATGTTTTCATTTCTCTTGGTTATATACCTAGGAGTGGAATTGCTAGGACATATGGTTACTCTGTTTATCTTTTAATGAACTGCCAGACTTTCTTTCTCCTTTCTTCCCTCCCTCCCTCCCTCCCTCCCTCCCTCTCTTCCTTCCTTCCATCTTCCTTTCTTCTTTCCTTTTCCTTTCTTCCTTCCTTCCTTCCTTCCCTCACTCTTTTTTTCATTTATTTTTGTTGTTGTTCAAGTACAGTTGTCCCCATTTTCACCCCCACGCCCCCCCACCCCATGCATCCCTGCCTCCCACCCTTGAACCTACCCCCTTGGCTTTGTCCATGTGTCCTTTATAGGTGTCCCTGGATGACCCTTCCCCTATTTTCCCCCATTATCCCTCTCCCTGCTCCCCTCTGGTAGCAGACTATTTTCAAAGCAGCTATATCATTTTACTTTTCTACCAGTGATATATAAAGATTCCAGTTCCTATACATCCTTGTCAATATATGTTACTGTTGGTCTTTCAAATTAAGCCATCATTTTGTGTGAGAAGTGATATCTTACTCTTTTCATTTTATTGATGGTTTTCTTTTGAGGACAGAATTTTTTAATCTTGATGAAGTCCAGTTTATCTATTTTTTCTTTCATTACTTGTACTTCAATGTCATTTCTAAGAAGGCTTGCCTAATCCAATATCTAAATATTTACTTGTTTTCTTCTAAGCATTTTACAGTTTTATTACTTACAGTTAGGTCCATTTTGAGCTAATTTTGTGTTAAGGAAGGGATCTATTGGGTTGACCAAAAAGTTCATTTAGTTTTTTCTACACGATGGCTTTAGTAGTGCTTAGTTGTCTTTAACTTCATTTGAAACAATTTTGTTAGATTGTATGGTGATTGCTGTCACATCACTGCATTTAAAAAAATTATCAAAATCAGTGAATTTTTTGTGTAGCCATTTTAGTATTGAAGATGGAAGAATATATGCAACATTTTTGGCATATTTTGCTTTATTATTTCAAGAATGGTAAAAGTGCAACTGAAGCACAAAAAAAACCTTTGTGCAGTGTATGGAGAAGGTGCTGTGACTGATTGAACATGTCAAAAGTTGTTTGTGAAGTTTCTTGGTACTCTTAACACTTTGACCAAATAGTTCTTTGCTGTAGGCTATCTTACGCATTGGAAGATGTTTAGCAGCACCCTCCCCGCTACCCACTAGAAGTCAATAGCTGGAGATAGCCAACATTCTCAGAATATCTGAATCAGAAAAGTTATTGGTGAAAATGAAAAAAATGTTCTTTTATTTTATGGGGAAAAAACTAAGTGGACTCTTTAGCTGACCCAGTAATTTCATTGTTTTGCATGAGGATATCCAGTTGTCCCAGCATCATTTGTTAAGAGACTATTCTTTGCCCATCGAATAGTCTCAGCACCCATGTCAAAAATCAATTGATCATAAGCATAAGGATACCCAATCCTATTCTATTGACCTCTATGTCTGTCCATATACCAGTGTCACTTTGCCTTGGTTATTGAAGCTTTATAGTAAGTTTTGACATCAGGAAGTGTGAATATCTCCAGTTGTGTTACTCTTTTTCAAGATCATTTTGTCTATTTGGAATCAGCTTGTCAATTTTTTTAAGGTATCTGTGATTTTAATGGTGTTGTAGTGAATCTATAGCTTAACTTTTAGCTTAACTTTTGAAGTTAAAGACAATGTGCCTACAAGTGCATAGGTGTAAGGAAGTAAGCCAACCCACTTCCTTAAATTGGTGGAGGAGGGGAATAATTCAGGGACAGTGTTTCAGACTTTCCTTCCTCTCACAAGCAGACTAAAAGAAAAATTACTGGTTAGATAGTAAATACAGATTGCTGGGAAATCCTTGTGTAGTTTGTCCTTTTATAGCAAGATATCTAGCTGCCTGCCTTCACACAGTCATACTTGACTGTAAATTAATTTTCAGTCAAAGGAAATTTTGTCACAGCTGATTTCTTTGGACTGTTTTCAGAAGTTTGTTCATAACTAATAATCACATGGGGGTGGAGGTAACCATGTGCCTGTAGTGTTCTGTCAACACTGTGCCTGCCATGAACAGGCTGGAGGCCGTCTCCTTCACCACCTATTTCTATTCAGTAACCATCACAAATCCTAATTGTCATTTTGTCCTTTTCTCATCTTTAGGCAAGGCTTGAAATCTGTGCTTTGAGGGATACTGTGGCTGTTCACCTGACTCCTGAAAGCAAGTGAGATGCTAAATATTCTCGTTTTGAGTGCTTCATTAATAATAATGTTGGTCTGACTTGTATATAAAATCTTTTGTAAAGATAACTGAGCAGAGTGAATGCTCATGATTTTGTGGTGTGTAAATGTTTAAACATGATTGACCAAATTTTTAGTTAAAAAATGTACATCTGTATTAAGTCATGGGCTCCTAAGACTGGTTCTTCATAGCATAATATGAAGAAGAAAAGATAATGTAATTTTATGTTTTTCATTCTATAAGATAAATCTTAGTCCCATAATCAATGTAGCAGAACATTGCATTCTTTTTTTTAAAAAAAGGAGAAAATAAGTATATTCATAGCAGACTTTGAAGGACTGTTTTAAGTGTTGTAATTATCAGAGGAAGCCTTGTGGTTTCTCTGAAAAAATTTGTAGTGGAAATTTGATGATTTTTAGCTGTTTTGAATGAAAGTCAGGATTTCCTATCATTGAAATATCAGTACGTGAACTGAAACAGTACTACTAACTACTTGCTTTTACAAACCTGTTTACTCCATTGGCAACATTACCTAGGAAATGTTGGGTTATACTGATAATGTGTGTGAGAAGCCAAGTGGTATACAAATAAATTGTTTAAGGACATTTTGTGCAATACGTTTATTCATTTCCAGCTTTTGATAACATGGCTAATGCCATCTTCTTACTGCCATCATTACAACTGAAAGACCTCTTACATTTTTTTCCTAACAAAGTTAGCTTCTTTTTTAAAATTTTTAAATTTTATTTTAATTGTTGTTCAAGTCTAGTTTTCTGCCTTTGACTCCCACCCCGGCCCAAAGTTAGCTTCTTGTTCCTGTTCATCAGGCTGACCATTTCCAGGTGGCTCCCATATTGGTTACTGAAGCACACTTTTTTCCCATGGTTGCTTGTCTGCACAGAGTGCTAAATAGCAGATGATAGAAAGCATTCCTTCCATATTTGATTTGTATGCATGCCTTGTGTATTTATTCTCACTAACTTTACCTTTCATGGCCTAAGTTCCTCATTTATAAAACGAAGATAATAATACTTTGTAGGCAAAGTTTTGAGGAAATTAAATGAGAAAATGTCAAGTCACCTTCTAAACTCTTGGTGCACTACAAATAAGTGGTATCCTCCTCCTCCTCATTATTATTGTCATAATGTAAAAATAAAGACTAACAGCATCACATTTGTTTTGATTAATTGAGAAGAGGTTTACAAGAAACAGCATGATTGTGGAGATATGGCAGAGACTTTCCTTGACATCAGGAAAGAGGAGAGCCAATTTCCTACTGGGAAGGGAGTGAAACATGCCCACAAGTTATGAGATATCCCCACACCTACACCTTGCCCCAATCAGGAACAACTGAAGCGACCCGGTGCCTGGGGTAGTTTCATAACTGTATTGGGACTTTGCAGTCTCACTATATGTTGCTAGGATACCTGCCCCTAGCCTGAGAAATCCTGGTCAAAACTTATTTCATGGTATACTGATGAGAATGTTTTTACAATACAAAATCAAAGACCACTTTGAAGTCATGAATAATTATATTAATTTCTTCACCTTAGTCAGTTGTTTCTTAGTGAATGGTACAAATTACTACCAAATATTCTCCCCTAAATGCTTTTCATTTGATTCAGTAACTTTTCTGGTACTCTCTACATTAACAAGTTAAACATATCGAACTGCTGGTTTTAAAATGCGCTTTCCTTTTTCATGAAATGAAATAGTGTTGAATTTTAAAATATGGATACATCCCTCCATTATTCTACAAATTTTAAACATAATAATATCTAAATTCTGTAAAAACTTCAGTTATTATAATAAGACAAAGGCTGTAAATCAGGCCGTGGACACTGCAGTACTCTGTGTCCCCATTTGTGTGACCATTCACAAGATTGTATTTCTACTTAGTTTCCTTTCTTTCTTACTATTTGCTTTATCTAGAGTTGGGTCTTGTTTTGAAAATAGAATTTTAAAAAATTAAACATCCACACTAAGCCTTCATCTATCGCGAGTAGCATTCTTTTATAAAATTTAGTTCCTACTTCCATTTTTCAAGTTATATTTCATTTTTTAGATGAGTTTTTAGACCCTGCTCCTACCAAGGCTTTGGTAACTATACCCTCACTTTTACTTTTTCTATTGTTTTGCACTTTTACTTCTTCTCATATTTCTACATGCTTCATTGGTTTATACTAGTTTCTTTATATTTAAGATATGCTTAAAAATTTTAATAATGCTCTTAATTCCATTTAGAAGCATAAAATATTTCAACTTAAATGTTGCTACTTGTTTTCCAGGTCTAGTTTTAAACAGGCTTTGGAAGCCCTTCCTCAGCTTTCCAGTGGAGCAGATAAAAAGTAAGTTCTGTATGCTATTCTCAGGAGCCAGTTAGATGGGTTGAATAAGCTTTAATTACCCAAAAGTACTCTTTTTATAAGTAATAATTTGAATTTAATGAAGAGAAGTATTTAATAGCCCTTAATAGTATGTATCATAATACACACTCTTCTTTACTTGTCTTCCAAGTGACAGAATAAGGTAAAACCTTTCTTCTGTGTTTATGACAATTTAGACATTAGTTCTTTTCTTGTCTTAAACAACTAGTATAGAGAATGTCACAAGAGTGACTAGTATAGAGAATGTCACAAGAAAGTTTGACTTACTCAGTAAACTATATCATTGTCTTAAATTTTTAAGATAATACTTAGAGAAATGTGAAAGAGAGGACAATGTAGTAAAATGCAGGGCTCAGTGATTGTTTTTCCTTTGAGTAGCTCAGCAATGTACATTTTGTGCTCTATGTAATACAAAGTCTGAAGAAAGAATAGATTTGTAAATATGATATAATAAAGTTACATATGTTTCACTAATACTGTATTGATTGTCTCAGTCTGAGTTTAAACTTTGCTACTGATGTAACAAGAAATTCTGACCTGAGACAAAATCTAGGCCAGGTAAATTTAATAAATACCCAGCCTACCCTTAGCCGAATCAGGGAAAACATTATAGATCTTTGCTCCTTCACCAAGATAACTGAAGTCCACCCACTTTTGCATTTGGCTTATCAGCCCATAAACAAGTATTGGGTTGGCCAAAAAGTCCACTTAGTTTTTTTTTCTGTAAAATAAAAGAAACATTTTTCATTTTCACCAATAACTTTTTGATTTGCATTATTTTGAGTATGTCAGCTATCTCTTGCTATTGGCTTCCAGTGCGTAGAGGCCAGGGGTGCTGCTAAACATCTTCCAATGCATAAGACAGCCCCACAGCAAAGAAGTTTCTGGCCAAAATGTCACAAGTACCAAGAAACTTCACAAACCACTTTTTACACATTTGATCAGTCACAGTACCTTCTCCATACACTGTACAAATATTTTTTGTGTTTCAGTTGCACTTTAACTTTCTTGAAATAATAAAGCATACTATACTGCATATTTTCTTCCATCTACAATGTTAAAATAGGTGCACAAAAATTCACTGATTTTGATCATTTATTTTAAATACACAGTGATGTGACAACTGTCACCATACAATCTAACAAAATTGTTTCAAATGCAGTTAAAGACAACCAAGCATACTAGAGCCAACATATGGAAAAAACTAAACAAGCTTTTTGTCCAACCCAATATTTATGGTGTTGTGCATGAAACTGCATGAAAAATTCAGTGTGGGCTCTGTGATCTAGCACAGATGAATGTTATGAAAACTCCAGGGGGCAGGGAAAACACATGGAACTGGGCTAATGTCATATGGAGACTTGGACTGGGCTAGGGAGAATGGGTGGCAGACCATTTCTTTTGCTTATATGTCCCTATGTATGTCCCTAACTGGGCAAGTGGATCACTGTACAAACATCACACCTGCAACCCTGTTGGCTTTTTTCCTAGTTCTCACACTAACTTTCAAGCTCTATCTGAATTACTTTTAAACCCTATTCATTTCTTTAAAATAAATATGAAAAAGATTAAAACTATTATTTTAACATAAAGAACATGGCTCAAAAGGCTAGTTAGTGCTTTTGGGGGGCATCAAGAACAACAGCCAACCTGCTATAGTCCTGCATGGGTCTAGAGTTTAGGTCTGCTATTGGGACAGTGTTCTAATATTGAGCATTGTTAAACCATGAAATAATGTCATGATCCCAATGCCAGTAGGCTCCCTTCGTGTTTTTTTCTGAACCAGTTGAAGCTAAGATCCTTTCTGGCCCTAAAATTACATAGACATATCAGACTAGTTAAGGAAACAGAGTTATCAAGTACGTAGTGGAATGATTTACCTGGTGGAATTAGAAGTAGCCCTAATTCTTCTGGTGTTCAATTCACCACTTTAGTTTACCACTTGTCAATATTTGCTTAAAAAATAAAATAAGAGAAACAGAGATTAGACAAATTGTTTCCCAGGGGTGGGGAGTAAAGGGAAAAGTGCTGCAAGGGGCAGCATCAGAGAATATGGAGGATGATGGACCTATTCTTTAGCCTGATTATGGAAGTTGTTAGGCTGCTGAGATGTATTTATCAACATTCATAGAACCATGTGCCAAAAAGAGTACATTATAGTATATGTAAACTATTGAAAAGTGAATTAAAATGTACAGGTACAATCTGTTTTAGGGAGGAATGTAATCTTGAAGAAGGGAAAAGGAGGGAAATTTTTTATATATAAACATAAATATGTTTCTGTAACACAGTTGGCTCCCTGGCATGTTTTCTAAGCTTCATTATGTCAGGTTGCAAACCATCTCTGATCCCCACAGGTTACTGGAAGAGCTGCTGAACAAGTTCAAGAGTAGCATGCACTTACAGCTCACCTGCTTCCAAGCCACTTCTTCAACCATGACGAAGACATAAGTACTTCTAAATTAGGGCAACCCAAAAATAACAAGTAATAAAATTAGAACTTTCTTAAGTGTTCTAAAGGTATTTGTAAATAAAGCATTAGGTTTGCAATTTCTTTTTTTCTCCAGAATTAGTAGTGTAGAAAGATGTTGGTATATGTTTTATTTCAATAAAAGTACCCTTATTTGAAATGCCCAAGCAGCAGTATTTCAGTATTTGTTTTGTCATTTTTATTATATTAGAGTCCTGTATGATTTTAAATTTTATATATATATATCTTTCACCCCAATATATATAATATCTAATATATATATTTATATCTAATATATATATACAAGTATATTATATATATACGATTATATATATTCACACACATAATTATATTTTTTTTTCCTTAGCTAAATATTTCATGATGAGTGCCATAGGAAGAGTTACTTTTCAGGGAATGTTTTTGAGATGGTATATGATGTATACTAAAGCATTTTTTTCAGCATCTTATTTACTAAAAGTTTAACATCAGTAGCTTTCAAGACATAGGAACAGAATGATAGAAGAGATTTGAGAAGTTACATCTAGATGTCTTTGGAGCTTAACTCTCCTAAGCAGTTCAGCTGTCCTTAAAAACAGTATTTCATACACATAGCTCTAATTCTGGTATGCAAGTAGATTTTAGAAAATTTGCAGTCTTCATAGAAAAATGCTACATTTTAGGTAGATTATTTGTGGTCCAGATGTCCATAAGGTACCTTTACATTTTGCTCCCTACTTTTTATTGTTCACAGTGCTAAGCATCTTTTCAATGTAGAGTTGAGTTTTAGTGTAGTTTTTGTCTCATTCACTCTTAATTTGATGTGTCACTTCAGGTCAGTACGTTGCCTGTCCCCGAAGATCCCCCTCTGTTACATGTGGTGGAACTTGGATATCCCAGGGGTGTTGTTTGGAACAACTGCAGTCTTCATTCACTGTCTCCTAAGAATAACCCAGACCGTGGGGACAGCGCTCTTTACTCCTTCCCCTCTGGCAGTTTCCTTTCTCACCACTTCTTACCCTTTGAAGTGTCTTGCTCAGTAGCTAAGAGAAAGCTGCTCTGGCTGAGTCTGTGTTTTCTGAAGATGCGAAGATGCCCCTCGGCCACTAAGAAAATTGAGTAATTCTCTATTTGTAGTCTGGGTGTCAGGGTTTTAAACTTTTTCTATGGGTTTCAGAGAATGTCCTTTCTTTAATGCTGAAATTACTATCTATTAATATAACTAATTTTAGAGTACAGTATAGCTATATACAGTACCCATTATTTGAAATAAGTCATTGTTGTCTGTTCATTTGATGTATGGTGGGAAATCATAGTAACTGGAAGTTACTCCTTTATAAATGTGCTTGACAAAGCTTATTAAGAAATATACAAAATATTATCTCTTAAGCATGTTAACCATTGTAGCTAACATGACTATGAATTAAATTTTACAACTGCAATTCTGAATATCTGTTATTTTAAATATTTAGTATAGAGCATTCAGCCAATAAACACTGTGTCTTCGATAGATGTAATTTAGTTGACATTTTTCCCTAAGTCTTTATGTCTACATATTTATTATCTATATAACTTCTTATAGGTCTATTTAACACTCACAATAAATACTTAAATTTCAATTTACCTTATGTTTGTCTATTCCTTGTCAGAAAGCACATACCAGGTGTTCTCCTAGTTCTTCACTAGTGGGGGCTTACTGTATGCAAGGCACTGCACTAAATCAGTACTCCCAACAGCCTTATGCAAACATTATGAACTAGGAGGTATTATGTTCATTTCACAGACAAGGTAGTTGAGACTTAGAAGTTAGTGACTTCTCAGAGACCACAAGGCTGGAAAGGGCAGGGTCTGTGTCAGACTCAGAGCTCTCTGTCTTCATCTCTTCTTAACCAGAGCCAGGTCTTCCTCCCAGATGAATATGCTTTCTGCTGTCCCTCCTCTAGAGGCAAAGGTCAGGGAAGCACATGAACATGAGAGGATAATAAAATGTAAGCAAAATAGAAACAGGTGAAGGGCTTTTATGGCTCAGAGAATGGAGGGCAGGCACATAAAAAAACCCATACCCAAATGAGGTGGTTCAAGGACTACTATTCCAACAAGTCAAGGGGGACTTCTTGGAAGAAAGGGGAATTTTAAGAGTTGCTTGAGCTACCAAAGAATTTAATGGTTAAGAGAAAATGGTGAAATATAATGTAAGAAAAGATCTGAGAGACTTGGAGCAAATTTACAAAGAAGTAGCTGAGAAAAAAATTTAAGTTACTCAAAGGTGCTTGCTTTCACACCCAGGTAGCATTAGGGTTTAGCACATCACACCCCTGTTGTCAGCCTAGCTTCATGTCAGTTAGCAAAGTTGGCCTCGCTTTCAGTGCTGAAAAGTATTGGAAGTAATTTGGTCTTACTGAGACTTTCTATATCAATGTACCACGAAAGTGGCGTGTTCTAGAAATGATTCCAGCATTACAAACCAAGCATCATGGCAGTAGGCACAGCTCCCTGAGTCACACTCCTGTCTCTGCCATCCTTGCATGCAGTTTTTTTAAAGCAATGAATAGGAAGAATTCCATTTTAATTCCAATTTGGTGAAAGATGGTCATGTATGTTTCTGTTTTGATTGTGTGCTGTGGGATGGTTTATTATTAGTTGCTTTAGGATATTATGTATTTTCTGAAAGTTATAAATTAGTAATTTTTAAATAATGACTAGGTTTCTAACAAGTATGGTTAATTATATTTAATATATGCTTAAATAATTACGCTTTACTATAGATTGAAACATGCATATATTTATGTCATTAAACTTTTGCTAGCAGTATTACCATACAGGTTTTCACATGGATTTATAAACTGTCCTGAAAATCTAAAAGATAAACTGAATACTTGACACATATACTTCAATTAGAACAACAGTTTTAATGATTTTAGCTTTGCTTTAAGCTAAAGGCGGGTTGTATATTTTTATATAGTAGAGTCATCATGCTTTTTGTGTACTGATTTCATCTCATTTTCTAAATTTAGTTTTATTATATATATCACTGAAAAGCCTTTTTGTACCTGGCTAGGTAAATATTTTACAAATAGGATCTGGGTTCTTTAGGCTACCTGCTGTAGTTTGGCTAATGAAAGCCAATAGGATGTCTTAATATCTTTCTCCTGTCTAGACCCATAAACTCTAAGACAAGGTTAGCACTGGAGCTGGTCACTCCATCTTCCTCAGCATTGGCACCATGTCTGGCACCCCATGATTGTGTTGTTCAGATCATTGCTGATACTGTTGTGGTGATTGTTATTTCGATCACATTTTTCTTGAATATTCCTGTCCCATCTGCCTGCAACCCTTTAGTGAGGCAGAAATCTTTGAGAGCCAAAGAAGTTAATTGCCAAGGAAGGTTCACAGAAGGACTCATCTCTGAGGGAGGAGGAGAACCAGGGAAGAATGGAATCATGGGGTCACAAAAATCAAGGGAAGAGCAAGAATCACAGTCAGAATAAAGAATAAGTTGTCAAGAGTCAAATATTGTGGATATGTCCAAATAGTGAGTACGAGAAATGTAGCTAGACTTGGCATTTAGAAAATTGTAAATGACCAGAGAGTGGTAAGGAGGGAATCAGAGGAACTTAAAACTGTGGACTGATTCTCTTAATTCACTGCAGGGGCTGTCAAGAGAGCTGTGTCTCCCTTGAAGATCACAAAGTTTCAGCACAATAGTGAAACAAACTCCTGAGGGTCAGTCCTCAATGCCCTTCTTCAGCTTCCTTCTCTTTTTAAATTATCCCACTGCATGTCTGGTCAATTGCTGCTGCCCCTGCTTCTTTGTATTATAATGACTTATAAATAATCATACCCACCCCTTTTCTCTAAAGTCTTCCCTTTAAATGCCTGTGAAATTTCTCTAGTTAAATGACAGGGCCTCCTGAAACCAGGCATCACCTGGGTATGTGCCCTATGTGAGATGACCATGGAGTTGTTTTTTGTTCCACCATGTTCCCTGTGCCCTGCTCTCAGCTGACCCCAAAAGCCCTTCCAGGAAGACTATGTACTGCAACCAGTAGCCATTGCACTGCTTTAGTTCTAGCCCAGCAGCTGGCACTGAGTAAGCCCTTAAAAAACATTTTTGATTGTTATTAAGTAGCAGATGTGTCAGATTACCTTTTTATATTTTTAAATAGATATGGAGCTGGCGATGAAATGAACAGTATCTATATCTCCTTCCCCCTTTACCTGCTTCCTAAAGCCATCTACTCCCAACTCTTTTTAGCTGACCTGCTTCTTTTGATATTGACCTCAATATCTCTGTCTTACAGGTTTATATTACTAATTTTTAACTCTTCAACTTAAGTCACTAAGGTCTTCCTACAGCAGATGAGAACTTAGTTGTTTCATTGCCTGTGCCACACACTTCCCTTAACCTTTCTTCCCAGTATGTTCATTTTGGTTTGATCATAATTCAGTGATCAAGTTACTATGGCTATGTAAAAGCCATTCAGTGCTAAGCCAGTAATATACCAAGATCCTTTTCCTATTGTACTTTTTGTTATTTTCTGTGCATTCTATGTAGTTTTCACTCACCTCTTCCAACCAAGTTATGCAAATGTCCTTGCACTATGTTCAAACACATAGGTATTTTATCAAGTTTATTTTGAACAATCTCACCCACAGCTGTTCATCTTCCTCTAGGTTGGATTGAGCATGCTCTAGGTCAGTCTCATGCCTGTCATCTTGGGATCTCCCATCAATATTATCATCCTGGAATTTTCTTCTGCCTGCGTCTCTTCTATGTTGGACCAACTACTTTCTTTGTCCTGTGCTGTCCTCTTTCTCAGCCTCTGGTAACTTTGTGAGAAGAGAGTATATGGGAAGGAAAACTTTTGAAACATTGAATATATGGTGAAAATCTTTATGATTGCTTAGCTGGACATTGAATTCTAGTTTGGAAATCATTTTTCCTCAGCATTCCCATGCCTTTGCACTATTGTCCTCCAATGTCTGTCTGTCTCTCTCTGCTTATAGAACATCCTTTTCCCAGTTTTCTGAAAGTTCATAATGTTCTGGGTGTGATGTCCTTATATTCCTAGTGGTGAGTCTAATGTGTTTTGATTCTGGGAGTTTTTCTTGAATTATTTCTTCAAATCCCTCTGCTCCTGTTTTTTGCCTTTACCTTTAGTAGTTGGCTCTCCTATCCTGGTCCTTTATAAAAATTTTATCATACTTTTCCTCATATTTTATCTGTTTTGTCTTTATTCTGCTTTCTGAGAAACCTTACAATTGTACAACCTTTCTATTGGGTTTTTCTTTTTTTTTAATTTATAGGAGTTTTTTGTTCTGAATATTCTTTTTTATACAGTCCTATTTATTATTTCTCTGGGAATAAGAATATTGTTTCAGAAGTTTTCTTTTTTCTTCTTTCCCCAATTTTCTTTATCCTTTTGTCTTGATATTAGAATAAATATCATAAGCTTTCTTAAAATTTCTAGCAAGCTTTGGATACCTATTCACATTTAGCTCTAAAAAGCTGAAGCTCCATGCAGTGGGTGGGTCTTATCAACTGAGCTTCAATTAGAATAGTATATACAGGCCTTTTCATTGGGGAATCTCTAACATTGTATTTAGGTCATTTTTCTGGGGGTGGTAAGATTTCCCAGAGAGGGTTCTTTCAATCTCATGCCTTCTGGAAGGAAGAAAGCTTGGAACATCATTTTTGTCAGAGCAGTACACTTGCTCTCAATTGGATTTAGTATCCCATTCATCCTCTTCAGAAAATAAAGCTCTAGTCTTCTGTCGGAGTGGGAAGATGGAGGACATTACCCAACTGTGTGAAAAGGAAGAGACCTGGGAACATCTGACTCACTTTTTTTTTAATCTTCAGCCAGGGATATACTTACTGATTTTAGAGAGAGGGGAAGGGAGGAAGTGAGAGAGGGAGAGATACATCGACCGGTTGCCTCTCTCATGCATTCTGATCAGGGACTGAACCTGCAACCTAGGTATGTGCCCTGACTGTGATTCAAATCCATGACCTTTTGGTTCACAGGACAACACACTCCAACCAACTGAGACACACCAGCCAAGGCTAGCTGTTTCTTAAACAGTCTTTAAACTGATCATTTGATTTTAATCCCAACTTCTGTCCTCATTCCAGAAATTTCTTTACCACAAATTCATTGGTCTTTTGGGAATTTTACAGTATAAACTAAATTTCAGCTTTGTTTTACATACTGCCAGCTTAGGCTGTAATGTTTTTAGATCTGCTAAATCAGTTTTCACTCACCCATACATTTGGCAATTTTCGAACTCTTCAAGCTATTATTTTCTTTTGTATTTATCTTTTTCTTTGTGGACTTACACCTTTTATATATAATTTTCTTATTAACTATATATAGTTATATATAATGTGCAGTTTACTTAGTGTGCATATATAGATGTATACAGAATATATAATAGGTATATATACTATGTATATATACACACACAAAACTGCACTGTCATTTTTGTAGTTTTGGTTAGAGCTAAAGTTAGTTTGTGGTTTCAGTCTGCTCTCTATAAATGAAAGTTCAGATTAATTTTTTTGTTTTATTTGATTATAATATATAAAACTTTATATGTGTATGGTTTACATTTGTTA